AGCCAAAGTGCAATAATAAAACTGAAAAAAAAAATCCATATCCAGAAGCTTTAACCCATAAGGTTATCTTAGAAGGAGAATTTTTCAGAACCAAGAACAAGACTATTTAGAGATAAGTCTTCTAAGAAGAGAAGTGAAGTTGAAACTTGTATAGTTTTATAAAAAACAAAAATCAACCACGCTGTTTGTATTTTTAAAAAATTTACAAAGGCAAAGCATATCTTCTAAAATGTTATTCTCTTTCACTAAGCACTTTAAGGAACCTTAATTAATTCTTGAGATTCTAACAACCCTAAAGGCAAGTCTTAAATTATATTTACTTCGGAGTACAAATTGGAAAGACAGTTTGTGAGAGCCATTTGAAAATATTTAGCAGAAGTCAACATGTATACTCACTGAGTAAGCAATTCCAGTTTTAGAAATTTATCCGAAGAAAACAGGCAATGACATAAAAACAAGGATGTTACAGCACTGTTTAAATATTCAACAACATGGTCAAGTAAATTTGTGGTTCATCATATAGTGAAATATGATGGTCATAATACAAAAGATAATTATGTAAAATTACATATGATAAGGAGAAATAGTCACTGTATATTGCTGAGGGAAAAAAAGAAGGTCATAAACCTGTAGTACTATATGATCTAACTTCTGTTTAAAATATGTATGTGCATAGAAATACCTGGACATATATAAAATAACATGTATAAAAATATGCTTTCACATATTTGCTGTAAATAGCATAAATATATAAATTGATACATATAAATTAACAGTATTTATCTTTGAGTTTGGGATCATATGTAATTTTTATTTATCTCCTTTGAGGGTGTCTGAATTTTGATTTTTCTCAAGTGAATATCTTTTTTTTTTTTTTTGAGACAAAGTTTTGCTCTTGTTGCCCAGGCTGGAGTGCAATGGCATGGTCTTGGCTCACTACAACCTCCACCTTCCAGGCTCCTGGGTTTAAGCGATTCTGCTGCTTCAGCCTCTATTTTTTTTTTTTTTTTTTTTTTTAGACAAGAGTCTTGCTCTGTCACCCAGGCTGGAGTGCAGTGGTGTGATTTTGGTTCACTGAAACCTCCCCCTCCCAGGTTCAAGTGATTCTGCTGCCTGGGACCCGTTTTTTTTTTTTTTTTTTTTTGAGTCGGAGTCTTGCTCTGTCACCCAGGCTAGAGTGCAGTGGTATGATCTTGGCTTACTCTTGGCAACCTCTGCCTCCTGGATTCAAGCAATTCTACTGCCTTAGCCTCCAAAGTAGCCGGGACTACAGGTGCCCACCACTATGCCAGGCTAATTTTTCTATTTTTAGTGGAGTCGGGGTTTTGCCATGTTGGCCAGGTTGGTCTCGAACTTCTGACCTCAGGTGATCCACCTGCCTCGGTCTCCCAAAGCTCTGAGATTACAGTCGTGAGCCCAACCACAGTGAGCCTCTTTTAATTAGATAATAATCAGTAAAATATTTCCTTGAGGCAACCATGCAATTGTTAGTGTTTTTCAAATTTTTATAATAGTAAATACTGTATGCACTATGAAATAAAGTGATGGAGGGGAGAGAAAGAAGAGGGAATAAGGCAGACGGACCATTATATTGTTTATTATTTTATCATGTATATGTGCTGTATGTTCTAAGTTAATCTTAGATTTAACAATCTGGAAAGAATTTTCAATGAAACATAATAGTGAAGAGTTAATGTCTGTTAGATCAAAGCCTATTGACATAGATTTAATTTTTCTCCTCTACTTAGAAATGCCAATTTTGTTGTGTGAGGAGCAGGTGGCTATCTTTCTCAAAACTTTTTTGGGAGCTCACCAAGCTTCATCTAACCAAATGCAAACTGGCATATGGACTTCATCCATATGGTCATATGAATTGCCGGGCAAGTGCCTCCTGCCATGTGTCTAATCGGTTTCATAAAATCCGTGCTTGAAGTGGAGTTCTATAGGCATATGAGTCTGTGATAGTGTGGGACTAAGGAATATAGTGACAAAGAGACCACTCTGGTACCATCAGATAATACCAATATTTGGTCTTATCAAATATTGGCAGTATATATCTGAACAAAGGAGGAATCCTAGTAATTCTAAGCAAAAAATTTCTGTCATGTATTTCAGTTTAGATCTACTAATAATACTTCTTTAAATGCCTTGTTAGACCGTGAAATCTGGGAATAATTTTCAAACACCATACGCACTGTTTACAATAGAATCATATTTCTTTTCTTTCTCTCCCTCCCCTGCTTTTTTTTTTCTTTTTGCATAAAAAGTGTAACGCTGCTGAATGGTACCCAAATGTCTGTTGTATACCATGCCAATACAGCAGCTCAGCCAAAAATGCGAATAGAATAGTTTGCCAAGTAAAAGAAAACATAACAAATTGGTAATGGTTTCTATCTTGACAGAAAATGAAAATGATCCCTCAATGTGTGGCCACTCATGCGGACACATAAAAACGTCTTAGAAGCAATCATTTTACCTCAGATAACAGACCCTGACAGTGCAGTACAGCACACTGGCTGACTTTCACTTCTTAGAAAAGTGGCAACCGTGACCTACAAAAGAGTCTGGGAACCATGTAATTTATGCATAACACACATGCACATGCCATGCACTCATAATATTTGTTATAAATCATTTTTAATATAAGACTCCTTTCCTGAGAAGAATACACTTTATGAGAGAGGATCTAAATCACCAGAGACTCAAGAAAGCTAAACTGAACAGAAGTGATGTTGTTGCTTATCAGGTTACAAAGTCCAAAGGTCTAAATTGCAATAAAAAAGCATTTCATAAGGCCCCTATATATACTATCTGATTCTGCATAGTGCCTTAAACATGAAAGGCATTTTTGTTAGATGTTAAATAAAACAAATACCAAAAAAATTCTGGAGGAGCATAGGGTACAGCTCTGACTTTCTGTTTAGGAGACTGCAATTGAAAGCAGAAAGGAGCCCCTCGAAGACATGCTACTGGTTCCTTTAACTTGTTTCCCACTTCTTCACCATTTTTTTTCCCAATGGAAAATTAGCTAACATCATTGACCAGTGATTTTTTTCCCCCATGTCCAGTGAAGTGTCCCCATTTTTAAAGTTTCTAAATGAGAATGTTAGCCAGAAAATTGATTGTATAATCAAATCCATCAAAAACAGTAACGGCACTTTTAAAAATAAATCATTGGTATCTGAAACTAATGAGGAATTCAAAATGAGAGAATATTGAACTAAGGGGCTAGGAAGAACCTCGAGAAGTTAAATGGTCTTGCCAAGTTGAAAGCAAATTTGAATCCTGTGGGTTATGAGTTTCGAATGAAACTTCTGGGGTTTGAATTTGTTGGTGACTTTCCTGTTCAATAAAAAAGACTTAAATGGCTTATAAAAAGGTTAAAAAAACTTATTGGGCATCAAACTCCTCTTACAAAACACTATCTTGATGAGTTAAGTGTAAATGAATCAGAAACACATGGGTAATATTTCCTTTAAAAATGCATATGGATTCAAAAATAAAGGAAAGAGAACTTGGCAAAACATTTTTTGTGTGGTGGCTGAACCCAAAACATTTGAAAGAGATGTCGAGACATTCAAGGAATAAAAAACAAAACACACACACACACACACACACACACACACACACACACACACACACTAAACCTGTTCAGTCATATAAAACAAAAAAATTCTGTACAATGTGCATTTATCTCTATGGGTCAATCAACATTCACTGAGTCATTGCCTCTGACACCAAACTATGGAAGGAGCCAGCTTCTGCCTTCAAGCAACTTTGAATTTAAGTATCAACAAATACATCTAAGTAATAGAAACCTATGAAAAGAGATGTAGAATCTTACAAAAACCTATTAAAAGAGAAGTAGATTATAACCCACATCATATGAAAACTATAAATTGAGAAATAGACAAGTGCTTTCAGGGTCTAGGTTAGATAGGATTCATTCGATTCAAATCATCATGCCCTCAGACCTTTTGATTAAAATTATACACAGTTGCAGAGTCTTACGTGTTTGAATGTTTTCTTAATAAGTGTTTTTATGTCTTTTTAAATGTGTGTTCCAGCCCTCCTTCCTCCACCCTCTAGATTTGTGAGTGTTCAACAAATCTTGCTGACTGGTTTCCTGGAGGATGAGAGTGTTGAACAGAGTTTTGAAACGGGCGACGTTGTTTGGCAGAGAGAACTGTGGCTATGATTCTGGGTTGGGGTAATGGCACATGTGATGGTTCAGAGTCTCCAGAGGGTGAGTCATGTGTAGGGGGTGATACACTGGCTTGCTTGCAGCAATGTGGCTGAGCCAGGGTGTAGTGGGAGGTGGAGGCAGTTAGGTGTGGGGAGGCCTAATACACTGCATGTGAAGTCAACTTGAGGACAGAGGGTTGTGATAAGGAAAAACACACAATTTTTATCCCCCGCCCCTTTTTTTTTGCCAGTATAGGATAAAGTTCTAAGCAAAAGACATGTACATGTCATTATTTTATTTCTTATCAGTGTCTTAAAAAGCTGAAAAATATCCAAAGATAAAAATAAAATTAACTATGTACGAGTTGCTAGGATCTTGTAGATCATAACTTTGAAGAGGAAGTTAGTAGGATTATGAAATAGATAACTGAGTTCTAAAATGTCTGTGGGAAAATGTAAGAAATTATTGATTTATTGTTTTCTAAGGTTGTTTTCCAGTTGTTTAATGTGAGTCTCATCTTTTCCACAATATTAGAAAGTTATTTAGAGCTGGGATAATTTCTTGTGCATTTTTCACTAGTTAGCACAATGTTAAACCATACCAAGTGCTTAATAAATGCTTGTTTCTTTAGTGCTTGGTGCATTTATTTATTTTACTTTATATTGAACTGAAATAAAGTCAAAAGTTGCCAAGGTCCTATAATGGTGATGGTAAAGTCTGAAAACAAAAGAATGATATAGTGTAAATGTCATAGTAGTGTCTCTGCTCTGAGCCTATTTGTTCATGGTTAATATAAAGAAATCAAAGCCCTTACCATCCTTCATCATCTTCGACTTCTGTTTCAGGAGTGTCATTTTCAGGCATTTCAGCAATTGCTTGAGTGAGTTTAGATTTAAACTGGTTCAGCAGTGCAAGAGTCTGAAATAACAATTAGACTGCTAAGTTTTCTGATAAAGATAAATATAATTTTCAAAGAGATGCTTACGTTTGGTAGAAAAGGAAGTATCCTATTTAGATGTAAAACACTTAGATAAATGTTTGCTTTTGAATGAAAAGAATAAAATTACCTTTACGCTGCAATAGTGACGTTAACAAACTCTGACATTGTTCTGTTTGGATTTGCACTGACATTTCCTCTCAGAGACAAGTAACTATTTTCTGATTTGGGAAACAAAAATTTGCTTATGTAGAAGACAGAAGACTCAACTTTTAAAAATACATGTTTTGCCTGGTGCATTGGTTCATGTCTCAGCACGTTGGGAGGCCAAGGTGGGAGGATCTTTTGAGCCTAAGAGTGCAAGACCTCGAGACCAGCAGGGGTAACGCAGTGAGACTCCATCACCAAAAAAAAAAAAGCGAGATGTGGTGATGTGCATCTGTTGTCTTAGGTACTATGAAGACTGATGCAGGAGGATCCCTTGAGCCTAGCTAGGAGTTTCAGACTGTAGTGACCTATGATTGTGCCACTGCACTCCAGTGTGGGTAACAGAGTGAGATTCTGTCTCTAAATAAATAAAATAAAATAAAATAAAAAATTTATGCTTATTTATAGTTAAGATTTTGGTGTCTATAAGAGAGAAAGGTAATTCACAGAAAGGTAATTCACTGTTATGTGAAGTCAAAAACAAAAAAATAAATAGTATTATTTGATAGTATTATAAAAATATCAATATTGGGAAGGTAGAACGAACATATTAAATGATGGAAAATGAGTAAATTAGAACATCTTTAGAAAGCTGTTGATACGTATTGGAAATTTTAAGATAATCATTCCCTCTGATTGAGTAATTCCAATCCTGGGACTATAGAAAAATAATGTGAAACACAGAAAATGGCTTATGTACAAGATGTACACTGCAGCATTATTCACACAAATGGAAAATGAAAACATGCTAAATGTCTATCAGTAAGAAACTAGATAAATTTAGTAAAAAGCATGCAATAAAACACATTAAAAAATTTAGAAAAAGCAATAAATATGCTATTTTTTTAGTTTTTATTTTTTTGAGATGGAGTCTCGCTGTGAGGCCCAGGATGTAGTGCAATGGCACAATCTCGGTTGACTGCAACCTCCGCCTGCCAGGTTCTAGTGATTCTCCTGCCTCAGACTACCAAGTAGAACTACAGGCATGTGCCACCAAACCCAGCTAATTTTTTTGTATTTTTAGTAAAGACGGGTTTCACCATATTGTATAGGCTGGTCTCCAACTCCTGACCTCAAGTGATCTGCCCACCTTGGCCTCCCAAAGTCCTGGGATTACAGGTGTGAGCCACTGTGCCTGGCCTAACTATTCTATTGTTATTTAAAATTATAAATATGCTATTGTTATTAAAATTATATACATGAAACATTGTATTCTATTGCTAAGTGAAAGATGAATACAAATATTGTGTTGAGTATATATTTTTTAAAAGTGTGTGTGTAAGGGGAACATTACTGTGAATTCTTGTTTGGCTCCTATGCTCTCCATGGGCAAGAAGAAGCAAGTGGCTACAATTTTGTAATCACACTATCTCCTAGATCTTAACAGTCGACTCCAGAATTTGAGCAGACAACAGAAGCTAGAAAATGGTTTTTCTTTTGACAGATTTATGGAGTACATCACTGTGAAATGGGATAAAATACTACCTGTCTGAGAAATCAAGGGCCTAATCAAGATTTTGGTATGTTGAATTCAATATTGAAATCCTCACATTTCACAAGGAAAAAGATGTGTGACAGTTCAACATATGAATAACTGGTAAAGAGTCACAAAACATCCCTAAGCTCCAGAATTTATCTAGACATTATCAATAAGATCACAGTTTATGAAAAAGTTAAGTAGCTCTGGGCAGTCTAGAACCCAAGCTTAATAAAGACAAATGGTGCCAAATTAACTGCAAGAAAAAGTTAGTTGGTTATTGCTTAACAAATGATAGTAAAAAGCATCTCCTACTTTTCTGCAAAATTTAATGCACACATAGACAACAGCTAAAAATACACACATTAGCATAGCTACTGAATGAGGTGAGTTTTGGGGAAAATTCATAAGTTCCTACAGAATATCATCATAGGCATTCTAAGGGTTGCCTAGAATGTTAGCATTTAGATATTTTAACTATTTTTAGAGTAGATATTGTAGAATTAAACTCGTCAAGCAATGTTAACAGATAAAGCATCTCTTGTTTTTAAGCCTTATTCATTAAAAATACTCCATTGTTTAGAAATTCTTATTGTATTTGCTTATTAACAAGAAAATGAGTTACTGTAAAAACATTGGAAAATAGAAGTAAAATAACTATTCTCCCACCCCTCAGAATAACCACTGTTAACATTTTGGTAAATATACTTCAAGGCTGTGTGTGTGTGTGTGTGTTTATATATCTGTATCTATATCTACATCAACTATTACATAAATATGTATCTCCATATCTGTCTATTTAATCTATATGATATGGTCTGGCTGTGTCTCCACCCAAATCTCAACTTGAATTGTAACTCCCAGAATTCCCATGTGTTGTGGGAGGGAGCCAGTGGGAGGTAATTGAATTATGGGGGTTGGTCTTTCCCATGCTATTCTCGTGATAGTGAATAAGTCTCACAAGATCTGATGGGTTCATCAGGGGTTTCTGCTTTTGCTTCTTCATCATTCTCTCTTGCCACTGCCACGTAAGAAATGCCTTTCACCCTCCACTATGATTGTGAGACCTCCTCAGCCATGTGGAACTGTAAGTCAAAAGTCTTTTTCTTCCTACTTTTGGGTATGTCTTATCAGCAGTTTGAAAATGGACTAATATAACACAACTTAAAGGTAAACCCTATCAATATTTTTTTTAAGAGATAGAGTCTCATTCTGTCACCCACCCAGGCTGGAGTGCAATGGTGCAACCATGGCTCACTACAGTGTCAACCTACTAGGCTCAAGTGATCCTCCTGCCTCAGAATTCCGAGTATTTCGGATGTCTTCCACCATGCCCAGCTATTTTTTTTTTTTTTTTTTTGCTGTGGAGATGGGGTCTCCCTATGTTGCCTAGGCTGGTGTCCTGGGATTACAAGGGTGAGCCACCATGCCTGGCCCCTATTAATTTTTAGTGATGGACGTTAGCACACGTGGAATTGTCTTTTTTAAAAGCATAAAGAAAAATGAAAACAAAAAAAGACATCTTAATGGAATGAAATTTTAAAACTTCCTAGAAAATTATACTAGACCTGGATCTTTCTCTTTGAGTTAAAAGTGGCAAGGCAGTTTGTTTTCAGAGCCAGTTAATAAGGCAGTTTTGGCATTTGCTCAAAGAGGGGAGACTGTGGCAAACAAAAAACATCCTCTTGGCCAGTTTTAGCTTCTTCTATATTTAAGATTGGACTGACTTCCTCCTGCTGTATTATAAAGGAAGAGAAGATTCTGGACAGAAAAAAAAAATCACAAAGATAATGGGACACATTTATTATAGTGTGAAGAAGACAGGATCTGCAAGGAGGCATTTTGATTGGCATCTGCAGGGGAACTATTGAGTTATGGCTTTTGCTGAAGGAATGAATAGCCAACTACTTCCAGGAAGGCTCTTCAGTGCAGTGAGAGCCTTCCCAGAATGTAGAAGCTATGCTGAAGGGGCCCAATCTTGGCACACTCTGTTTATGCATATCTAACACAAGAGTCTCCCAACTGGGCCCTGTGCCTCTGTTTGTCCTATATCCAGTCCAATCTCCATACTGCAGCCCAGTTAGAGAAATCTTCCTGAAAGTGAAATCATATAACTTTCTTCTGTTTATGGTTCCCATGGTCTTTAAGATAAATTCTAAACTCCTTGACATGGTTCAAAAATACATCGTACGAACTTATTTTTGCTTACCTTTTCAGCTTCATCTTTCTCCTCTTAGTTTACGTTACAGTCATATTTAATATTTTTTAGTTATCTGCAAAGAGGTCAAAGACTTCTCATGCACATACTGTTCCTTTTGTCTAGCCATACGCTGTCTCTACCTGGCTGTCTCCTACACAACCTTCGAAGTTCAGCTGACAAATCATTTCCTTAGGAAGGCCTTCCCAAATTCTTAGGCCATGTTAGGTCCCCCTGCTACACACCTCCATAGTTTCCTGTACCTACCCTTTCAAAGTGCTCACCCTCTTTAACTGGTATTGCTTGTTTAACTATCTCTTTTCCCTGATATATCAGAGAGCAGATCAGAGAGAGAGCAGATCAGATCAGATCAGAGTGTTCATGTGTTGACCTTCAAATACAGTGATTAGTACATGGCAGGTTCTTAATAATTATTTGCTACAAGAGGGTTGGGGGGAAAGGAATGAATGAATCAGTCATCCTTAGTATCTCTGGTAGTATAGTCACTATGATTGCTATTTAGAAGACTTTGTGATTTTATGAAAACAAATCAATAATGTACTTTATTAACTTGTAATTTTTGAAAATTACATATAAGTTAATTCTCTATAATCACAATTTCCTAGACCTGACTTTTTGTTGACCTTTCCCTATGATTATTTTCATGGTAAGCACTGCTGCATGACCCTTCCTTACAAGTAATTAGGTGTCATTTATAACACAAGTATTGATTATATTAATTTATCCAAACAGGTTCGGGCTTTTACATTTACTTTTATTTTGCCTATTTTATTTATACAACTAAAATGGCAAGTCCATATATATAAGGCAGTTTGTTTATATCCATATATATGGCTGTACCAAAAATAAATGATAAGTGTCTGCCCTCTAACTTTTCAACATGAAGGTCTGCTTAAGAGATTTGTTTTATCAAGTGTCATGTATTGCATGGTGCATAGTGCTGACTCCCAAATTGTTGAGCTAGCTTCCTATCTCTTTTCATTCTTGATTTCTGACAACTTCTTGATATTACTACCTGATGATTCAGGAATTACTTGTAATAAACAGTTTTATTACAATAGAAGTCAGCTAGTAGACCAAATGCTTTATTTCCAGACAGTGGACAATTTCAAGCTAAGCTGGCTAGTCAGCATGTGAGACGCTGGGCTGGAATAGACTCTCTCATCATTTATAATCACCACTTCTTTGTTTCATAATATTCACTAGCTAGAGGTTTCACCTGGGTTTCTGAAGATATGTGACTTCATGAGGTTTCTGTGCTTACTATGGAATTACCAGGTTGAAATGTGGGAGTTCCAGGCTTTTTCACCACCAATGTCTGGAAAGAACTCCAGAGTTTGAATCTTTATGTGTGTGGCCAATGTCTACCCTATATAAATATATTCTTTTTCATTTTTAAGAGGTAGAGCTTCTCCTTATATATAATCAAATTAGGCTCCATTTAGAAACATGTAAAAACAATAAAAAGACAATAAATTATGTATGGATTTGGGGTTTTGAAGTTACCTGATCTTCCCTGGAAGTTCCCTTCTTTGACTGTTGCTTCCTCAAAGCTTCATACTTTTGCTTTTCTCTTCTGTATTCTGCAATAGCACCATCTGGAGTGGCTTCTTCTTCTAAAGAATAGTAGAATAATTTTTAGAATAAGTGGCAAAATAGCTCTGTGGATTCATAGCAATGTTTATGCTCCTATCACTGAAAAGGAGGTTGGCACTTGGGCTTTGTTTTTCACCATTTAATTTCAAAAGAAAACCTGTAAGCTCCCCCAGCTCTGTACCTATTTCCTAAATTAGAATGTGACTGATGTTAATTTATGAGCCAATTTTATAAATATCTTTACTATACATTGCACAATTATAGCTGTTCTTCTCACATGTACTTATTTAAGTTGATCATAAAATCATCTATCTTGCTTTTAAAATAATTAAGGTTTTCCTAAAATTCAGCAATACCATTTTATATTGCTTCCTTGCCTTAGAAGATACAATATTTCAAATATTAGTTGATATTCCAATTATCTACCACTTTTGTTCCCCAGTTATAACAATAACAACCTTCAATTTAATGGTATCATAGAAAATAAATATATCTAACAAATAAGTCAAAACAGTTAGCAACAGCAGACAAAAATAATCTTTACTGAATTAGAAATTAGAAAATAAATCTATGGGTTTGATCCTACAATAATTCCATGTGAAGGTTAGTTAACATCTGGGTTCATAAAACAGTTTTGCCTCAAAAATAAAGAAGCCAACAAACTCAAGTACTAGCTTTTATAACATCTTACATGTTATAAATGTCAATGAAAATTTGTGACACACACACACACACACACACACACACACACACAATCTCTTCTTCTCTTTGGCTGGCAGACAAATGATAAGCCGGAAGTAATCAAAAATGCCAGTAATCTTTCTACCAAAGCTTTAGTCTATTATTTGTCTCTTTGTTACCTAGCTTGAGGAACATCATGAATATGCAATATATTAACAATCAGCCATTTTGTTCCAGAGATTTTCTGGTTAAAAAATAAGTTCGAACTAAGAAACAAGTTATCTTTTTGTGGTTACCTAATATGATTTTGGTGGAACTTGGAAGGACAGTCCTGCTTTCAAAACTTGTATCTGTAAACATTAAAAACTGAGCACATTGGCCAGGTGCAGTGGCTTACACTTGTAATCCCAGTACTTTGGGAGACCAAGGAGGGTGGATCACCTGAGGTAAGTAGTTAAAGACCAGCCTGGCCAACATGGTGAAACCCCCATCCCTGCTGAAAATACAAAAATTAGCTAGGCGTGATGGCAGTTACCTGTAGTCCCAGCTACTCGGAAGGCTGAGGCAGGAGAATCACTTGAACGTGGGAGAAAGAGGTTGTAGTGATAGTGCCATTGCACTCTAGCCTGGATGACAAAGTAAGACTCTGTCTCAGAAAAACAAAACAAGCAAACAAAAGAAAAACCCACACAAAAAAACCTGAGCACATTAAGGAAAAATGAACCATTCAATATAGAAATAATATCTGAGTCACACATGCCTAGCAAACACAAGTAAAAAGAGTATGCCATCATAATTGGTATACATGAAATGATTTTTACAGTAGATTTAAAAATTACTTTAATATTTTCGACTGAATTATATCTTTGATATATTTCTTCTTCTTATCCTACAGTGGTTAGATTTGCGTTGTGCTGGGATAAAGAGGAAGCACTTTAAGATGACTTAGGATCCCTACATGAGGTAGTTAATGATTTCTTTTCCACTTATGTCTCTCACAACTCCTTTGCTGCATCCACCTGGATGTGCTTTCACTTGGCTGATAACTAGTATTCTTAAACCCTGCTCTCTTGACCCACCATCAGCCTTTGTACATGCTTTTCTTCCTTCAGGGATACTACAAACACTTCATCTTTCTATTCTTGATAATTCTCCTTGCTTAATTCCTGCTCCTCCTTTAGGTCTCAGTTTGGTTGGCACTTTAGGGAGCCTTTTCTGATTCCATTCTTGAAGTCTGGTTTAGATGCTTCTCCTTTGAGTTTCCAAAGCACCCTTTAGCACTTATATCACTTTATGGTGATTTCCTGTTTAATCTTGACATTAAATTCCTTGAGGACAAGTCGTATGCCCTTAGCACTTAGGACAGTGCCTGGCAAAAATGGAGTAATAATGTAATTGGAGAAGGGGAAAAAAAGAAGGTAGTAGGCCAATTTGCCTTCTTCCCCTACCCAGTCTCACAGTTATATTCAGCATTTGCCATGCACCTGGAATCTCCTGTTCCATTGCCTTTAGGGAATCAATAATTCTTTTCTGCTATTTCCTAGAGCAGAAGTTTGTAAAATTCTAAGGAAAATGCTGATGAGTATCTGTAGAACTATTTAATGTTTTTATGGTTAAAAAATGCAAAAGAGAAAGGACAAGTTCTTTGCGTACATTTTCAGCTACAAAAAACTGAAAGCCTTTATGATAAAAATTTTACAATAAATGGAAAGGGTAGGATGAATTCTGCTATCTCATGTCATAGGTAAGTTAAGCTTACAGCGTTCAAAACAGATTCAGTAGTGATTATTTTAATGTTTCACACACCTCTTCTTGAACATAGTCCCTTTTAGCAAAAAGCAACCACTTGATTTCACTTACTAGAAATGTGCAGGAAGTAGAAAGATTTTTTTAAAGTGCTATAAAGATGCCTTAAAAATCAATTTTAACAAGTCAAGGATAGGTAAGTTTAAGTATATAATAAAGCATGGAAATTCTGTAGCTATGTTGTTTATAATACTAAAAGGCCTTCTAATAACTTAGAAATAGTAGTCACCTTATTTAGAAAATGAAATGCATGAAACAGCTGTATTGATGTAGGCTTAACATGTAGTAAAATTCACTAATTTTGTATATAAAATGTGATGAGTTTTGGTATTGTATAGAGCATGTAACTTCCAGTCTGATCAAGATATAGAAAAGTTCCACAGCCCTACAAACAAATGTCTCTTACATTCGGTTTCCTTCTTCTGGCAATGAGGCACCAGTGATCTGCTTTCTGTCACCACAGTTTTGCCATTACTAGAAACTCATACAAATGGAATCATACAATATGTAGTCCTTTATGTCTGGCTTATTTTGGTTAGTAACTATTATTGAGATTCATCCATGTTTCTTTGCATAACTGGGTAGTGTTCCATAGCATGGATATACTCTAATTTATTTATTTTGAGTTGCTTATAGTTTTTGGCTACTACAAATGATGCCTCTTTAAAAATTTACGGAACGATCCAAGATGGCCGATCACTAACAACCCGGGATTGCAGCTCTCAGGGAAGGTGCGGAGAACTAGAGGACGCCACACTTTCAGACAAATTCTGGTCGCTCACGGAGCAGAAGATCCCCCAGTGGAGGAAACACACGGGTGGCCAGCGCAACTCTCGTGGCCGGCACAGCGGTTCCGCCGGCACCTCGGCGCGGCAGCTCTCGGAGCAAAGTAAACAGGTTGGGAGGACCCACTCGAGCCCCTAGCACGACACCAGAGCCCGGCGCAGCGGCTGTGATGGCACCTCGGTGCGGCAGCGCTCGGCCCAGAGTAAACGGGACCGGTTTCCCTTCTGACCGAGGTTTGGAGCCCCGGGAAGGCAGAGTCGCCTACTACGGACACAAGAAGGAAGCCAGACAGGAGAATCCTGGGCAGAAAAGCACCATCAGTTTTAACGCTGCTGCTCTGGCCCTGGGAACTAACAACCTGGACGTCCACTCAAGAGACCTAATCTGAAAGTTGGTAATTTAAAAGACTACAGGAGGATAAATTTACAATGACGGGAAGAAACCAGCGTAAAAAAGCTGAGAATACTCAAAGTCAGAACGCCTCTCCCTCTAAAGATGATCACAGTTCCACATCAACAATGGAACAAGGCTTGATGGAGAATGAGTGCATCCTGATGACAGAATCACTCTTCAAGGAATGGGTAATAACAAACTTTGGTGAGTTAAAAGAACACGTTGTAGCCCAACGTAAAGAAACTAGGAACTTTGAAAAAAGGTTTGATGAAATCCTATTGAGAATAGACAACTTAGAGAGGAGTATGAGTGAATTAATGGAACTGAAGAATACAATACAGGAACTCCGAGAAGTATGCACAGGTTTAAACACTCGAATTGTTCAAGCAGAAGAAGGGATATCAGAGGTCAAAGTCTAACTTAATGAAGTAAAACGTGAAGAAAAGATTAGAGAAAAAAGGATAAAAAGGAATGAGCAAAGTCTCCAAGAAATGTGGGACTATGTGAAAAGACCAAATTTACGTTTGATAGGTGTACCTGAATGTGACGGAGAGAATGAATACAAGCTGGAAAATACCCTTCAGGATATTATTCAGGAAAATTTTCCTAAACTAGCAAAGCAGGTCAACATTCAACCCCAGGTAATACAGAGAACACCACAAAGATATTCCTCAAGAAGAGCAACCCCAAGGCACATAATCGTTAGATTCACCAGGGTTGAAACGAAGGAGAAAATACTAAGGGCAGCCAGAGAGAAAGGTCAGGTTACCCACAAAGGCAAGCTTATCAGACTTATAGCAGATCTCTCAGCAGAAACTCTACAAGCCAGAAGAGAGTGGGGGCCAATATTCAACATCCTCAAAGAACAGAACCTTCAGCCCAGAATTTCATATCCAGCCAAACTAAGCTTCACAACTGAAGGAAAAATAAAATCTTTTATGAACAAGCAAGAACTCAGAGCTTTTATTACCACCAGGCCTGCTTTACAAGAGCTTCTGAAAGAAGCAATACACACAGAAAGAAACAACCAGTATTAGCCTTTCTAAAAATACACCAAAAAGTAAAGAGCACCAACATAAAGAAGAATTTACACCAACGAATGGATAAAACAGCCAGTCAACATCAAATGGCAGCAACCCTAAATTTAAATTGACTAAATCCCCCAATCAAAAGACACAGACACAGCCAAAACCCAATGGCATGTTACATCCAGACCTGTTTCACATGCAAGGATACACAAAGACTCAAAACAAAGGGATGGAGAAAGATTTATCAACCAAATGGAGAGCAAAAATAAATAATAAATCAATAAAAAGCAGGAGTTGCAATTCTCGTATCAGATAAAATAGATTTT